ATGGACCCTTGTCGTGAAAGACATGATTGCTATGGATCCTGTGTGCTGTTGTCAAAGGTGAGGGAAAAACAGAAAGAACAAAAGGAAGGTGGCAGATGGGGGCAAAGTCCTTCTTCTCTCATGCATCTTCCTCCCACTGAGCAATGCAGGGAACAGGAAGACAGGGTTTATGTGTGATGGACAACTCTGGAGGAAGCACTGGAGATGTCCAATGCCTGAGAAAGGATAGGGGGCTTTCACACCAGTGTCCCCATCTCCTCTCTTTTCCCCAATCACAGATGGGGGAAACTGGTGGGAAAGGACACATTAAAAGTAGGGTTGTCGGATTTAGCAAGATATAAGATGCCCAGTTAAAATTAAATTTTACATAAACCACAAAATTTTTTTAGCATAAGGATGTCCCATGAAATTTTTTTAAAGTATTCATTGTTCATCTGAAATTCTAATTTAACTGGATGTCCTGTATTTTATCTGGTGATCCTAGTCAAAACAGCTAAGGCGTTGACAGTATAGGAAAAGGAGGTGTCATGAAGAAGGAAGATGGCAGATGGGTGACACCCTTCTCTGGCTGGGCAGGAGGGTGTCCCTTATGAGTGATGCAGTTAGATAAAGGACATAACTGCACATTTTCATCAGCTCAGTCCCTTGCTCTGTATGGTTTGGATTCTGCCACTTTGGCACCTGGAATAAATAGCTAACTGGCCCTGCCCCAGGGTGCCAGGTGTGAGTTTTCTGGGCAGAGAAAAGGGAGCAGGCCCTCATCCCCTACTAGTGGCAGCAGGTGAGACACCTTTGGTGGACACTGGGGAGGCCAACGAGCTGTCTGGGACAATACTTAGCCATAGACACAGATTCCCTGGTGCATTCTTCCCTGCTCTCAAAGGAGCCTTCCAGAAACTCCCTGTGGGTCTTAGGTAAGGAGCTTAATGACCAGAATGACAAATAATAGATAACTGGAGTGCTACATCAACTAAACATGGATACCAGAGAGTGATTGATGCCCATTCATTTAAATGTGCAGCATGCCCACAGAATTTGTTACCATTCACTGCTTTCCACAAGGTGGTGGCCATTCCTCTTCACCAGAAATGAGGGAAGGACTGGCTGTGGCTGAAGCTTCAGATGAAGACTCTGGTTAGAATAGTTCCACTCCCGTTGTCCTCATCATGGCTCTGGGTTTTGGCCTTTTCAGAGTTCATGCTGGGTCACAGGTGACTTTAGATAGGCATCTTGTTTATGTCCACACTTGCATTTGTCTTTATGAAATATGTGGCACTTCACCTCCTATATACACAGCTTTAGAATCTTATATAACTGGAGACTTTTCTGGTTCTTGCTGGTTTGGTAACTGCTATTTTTTTTTTCATTTCTTTTGATGCGGTATCTCACTCTGTTGCCCCAGGCTAGAGTGTCATGGCATCAGCTTAGCTCATGGCAACCTCAAACTCTGGGTTCAAGCAATCTTCCTGCCCCAGCCTTCTGAGTAGCTGAGACTATAAGCACCTACCACAATGCCAGGCTAATTTTTCTATTTTTTAATAGGGACAGCATCTTGCTCTTGCTCAGGCTGGTCTCATACTCCTGAGTTCAAGCAATCCTCCTACCTTGGCCTTCCAGAGTGCAGGATTACAGGTGTGAGCCACTGTGCCCAGCCTAATTTTGCTAACATTGATAATCTCTAGTAGTACTCTTTCTCACACACACACACATACCCCATTCTCTCTCTTCTTTCTTCTCTCCTCTCTCTCTCTCTCTCATGCAATCATAATTATACACTTTAATTCCCAAATGCTCATATTTTACAATTTTGTTTTGAACAGTCAAATTTCACAAGTTTTTTTTACTTCTGATCAAAACAGCTATCAGCATTGTATGTACATGTGTGTCCTTATACATAGAAATTGAGATTAAATTAACTGCTGTGTTAGATACCACCAATCTGAAGAAGTACAAAGCAAGAAAAGAAAAACTAAGAACTGGGTTCATATTATGTGGTGTTATTACGGTTTATGCAAACTGTTCTCCATTCATGTCTAACTGCAGGGCAGCTGCAGGGTAACATTTATATCAACAGATTTCCATTCTGTTTGACTTCAACACTGAATGCCATTTTTTAGACTTTCAGAGCCCAGGGTCCCTCTCTCCGGGCTATCTGTTCACACAGCCCATCATCTATCTCAGTTGTTCAGCCAACAAGTGAGTACTCTCACCTTAGGGCTCCAGGCTGGGTTCTGTAACTACAGAGATGAACACTGGTTCCTGTCCCAAAGCACATGCAATTTAACAGATGTGTAAGTAAATTACAATACAGCACATAAAGAGATTAAGAAATCAGCCCCTTCCTAGGGGATCTGACAAAGTCATGAAGAGGTGCCATCTAAACTGGACTTCTAAGAATCAACAAGGGAAGAATCACGGTGCGCAGATACCCTGGGGCAAAGCTGGTGTGAGCAGGATTACTGAGAAGCTCCCTGTGGAAGAGGCATAGGAAGCTGGAGATGGGACCTTAGAATCTGGAATTGAGGATGCTGGCACAGGCCTTGTATACAAGCTGAGGTTTTATCCTGTAGGTAGGAACAGGAATAGCTTTGATTTTAGAGAGGAAAGCTCTAGAGATAGTGAAAGGCAGTCTGAAATGAAAACCAAAAAAGGTGGCCAGGCACGGTGGCTATAATCCTAGCACTCTGGGATGCCAAGGCAGGAGGATCCCTCCAGCTCAGGAGTTAAAGGCCACCTGGAGGAAGAGCAAGACCCAGTCTCTACTAGAAATAGAAAAAAATAGCAGGGCATTGTGGCAGGCACATGTAGTCCCACCTACTTGGGAGGCTGAAGCAAGAGGATCACTTGAACCCAGGAATTTGAGGTTGTGTGAGTGAGGCTGATGCTATTACACTCTAGCCTGGACAAAAGAGTGAGACTCTGTATCAAAAAAATAAAAAAATTTTTTAAAAGATTGGAAACTATTTTTTTAAAAAATGAGAAGACAAAACAATATTTCATAAACTTCTTTCCATCTTTATAAATATATATCTTAATAACACTTCCATGGTTTATATAAAATAACACTATATTTAACCAAATGATTACATTGGGATATCTTAAGTTATTTGTCTTTTTCTTTTATTGGGTGTTATAAACAATTCTGTAGACTCTTAACTATTTCTTTAGGATAAACCAGGAACAGCTCAGCGCCAAAGCTCAAGCAGCTAAGGTGCCAACCACATACACCAGAGCTCATGGGTTCGAATCCAGCCTGGGCCCGCC